AGGCTAATGAATTATTCAAAACATCAAAACAAGAAAAGATAGCAAAGCATGATCTTTAGAAATCCATTTGGAGTAAGGTTCACAGAACACCTAATCTAACTGTGTATAATGGGGCAAAAATTATATAAAAGAAGGAAAGTATGTGCATATAAACAGTAATAGTGTAAATGCATTGAATGTCAGGAGAAATTATCCTGTTGCACTCAACCCACAATCTGATCTTTGTTTTGGCAACATTATATCTGACTCAGCCCTGGAATGTTCTGCTTCAAGTTCTTCTTTACTAGGTAAAAGGATATCACGCTGCTTCATCACTGTTTTAATTTAGCCCCCTTGAATTACTGCACTGGCATGTTTGTCCATTGTTCTAGCACTACCACACTGCTCTACTCATTGGCCTTCTCACATCCTGTAACTTGAATTGTCTTTAGACAAAATTAAAGGAGACCTATATTCATTTTCAAATTATTTGACAAATCTTTAACTTGTTTTACAACTACCTCAGATATTTATTTAAGTACAATATTGACAGTCAGTCAATTATCAACAGAATTGAAGACCGGTGAGCCTTATGTCATTGGTGGGTAACTTGTTGGAGAGGATTGTGAGAGACAGGATTTCCATGTAGGGATAATCAGCATGGCTTTGTGTGGTAAATTGTGTCTCACTAACTTGATTGAGGTTTTTGAAGAGGTGACAAAGAAAATTGATGAAGGCAGAGTTGTAGACATTGTCTATATGGACTTCAGCAAAACATTCGACAGAGTTCCGCATGGTAGACTGGTTAGCCACGTTAGATCACATGGGATCCAGGGGAAGCTAGCTAATTGCATACAAAATTAGTTTAAAGGTAGGAGACAGAGGATGGTGGCAGAAGGTTGCTTTTGAGATTGGAGGCCTGTGACCAGCGGTGTGCCAGAAGGACTGGTGCTAGGTCCACTGCTTTTCGTCATTTATATAAATGATTTGGATGTGAATGTGGGAGGCATGGTTTAGTAAGTTTGCAGATGACACTAAAATAGGTCATGTAGTGGACAGCGAAGAAGGTTACCTCAGAGTACTATGGGACCTTGATCAGATTGGCCAAAGGGCTGAGGAATGGCAGATGGAGTTTAATTTAGATAAATGTGAGGTGTTGCATTTTGGAAAGGCAAACCAGGGCAGGACCTATACAGTTAATGATTGCGCCCAGGGGAGTGTTGCCGAACACAGAGAACTAGGGGTGCAGGTGTGTAAGTCCTTGAAAGTGGTGTCACAGGTGGACAGGGCGGTGAAGGAGGCATTTGGTACGCTTGTCTTCATTGGTCAGAACATTGAGTATAGGATTTGGAACGTCATGTTGTGGCTGTACTGGATAACGATGAGGCTAACTTTTAGAATACTGCGTACAATTCTGGTTTCCGTTCTGTAGGAAGGATGCTGTTAAACTTGAGAGGGTGCAGAAAAGAATTACAAGGATGTTGGTGGGATTGGATGGTTTGAGTTATAGGGAGAGGTTGAATAGGCTGGGGTTTGGTCCCTGGAGGGGTGACCTTATAGGGGTTTATAAAATCATGAGGAGCAGGATTAGGGTGAATAGCCAAGGTCTTTTTCCTAGGATGGGGGAAACTCAAAATTAGAAGGTATAGGTTTAAGGTGAGAGGGGAAAGATTTAAAAAAGACCTGAAGGGTAATATTTTCATGCAGAGGATGGTACATGTATGAAACAAGCTGCCAGAGGAGGTAATTGAGCTGGGTACAGTTACATTTAAAAAGCATCTTTGTGGGTACATGAATAGGAAGTGCTTAGAGAGACATAGGCCAAATGCTAGTAAATGGGACTAGATCGGATTAGGATATCTGGTTGGTGTGGATAAATTGGACTGAAGGGTCTGTTTCTGTGCTGTATAATTCTATTAATATTCAACTCAAGAATTTCTTCAACTAATAATTACTCAAATACCTTTTCAGCAGAAACTTTGATTAGACATGCAATTCTGCAAGTAGTTTTTTTGATTTGATTGAAAATTTTATAGAAAGTATTAGGGAAGAACAACTTGCCCATCCTTTCAAGATAGTAAGGGCAAGTTTCCAGAAATGCTGACGAAAAAGAATTTAGTGACTACCCGTTAATGTAAGTGGAAATTGCCTCAATCATGTCCATTTTTCCTCATTTTAAATAATCCATGCAATGTAAGGAAGAAAAAAGATTTTAAAAGGTTTTGGAAAAAATGCGATTGAAAAAGTACCTAAACATAATTGCATGCCAATTGGAACAGTTTACTTCTCTTTGTGTATGTGTGTGTATATATTATATATTTATATTTACGTGTTTTATATATATAAATATATAAAATATGTTTCCATACTTATTTATGTCCCTTTTTAGAACAAACATTTTGTCCATTTTAATGTCTCCCCATTGAAAACATTCACTTTTATACACCATTGGCTGTTTAGAGTATGGAATAACAGCCACTGATGTCACTATTAAGAATTTTGCATTCTTCCAAAGATTGTAAGATCTTGTCTCAAACTTGATTGCCTTGGGTTGTTTCAGTTGGAATGTAGACTATTGTGTAGATGAGGTGTCAGAAGTAACAGCTGGGCATTTGCTTTATTGTATTATGTAACCTGCCACCTGTATGAAAGTAGCGATACAGTGATCTGTTCTTCAAACCTAGTTATTTTGTGATAGGAAACGACTACAAGGCGATGAGAAACCTCAAGAAAATCAATTTTTAATCCACTTATTTTCCTTTAGCCACCATTCTAAAATTATCACTTTTGTTATAATATGTTTGTTTCTTGTAGATCTTTGGGCAAAAACTTCCATTTTTATGTTGTATGAAAATATTCTCACAGCTGTAACTGGTGCTTGATATCATCCTGATGTGCCACTGATAATCAAGTGCTGGATCTCAAGACTTAATTAGTCTGCTCAACCATCTTCATACTCACGTAACTGTTCAACTGACTCCTTTTACTGTTTCTTAATAATCATGATTGCACAATGTTCAGCACCATTTGTGACTCTGCAGATACTGAGGCAGTCCATGTACAAATGCAACAAGATCTGGACTGGATCTTGGGCTGACAAGTGGCAAGTAACATTTATGCCACAAAAGTGCCAGACAGTGACCATCTCGAACAAGACAGAATCTAATCAACATCCCTTGACATTCAATGGCATGACCATCACTGAAACCCCCATTATCAACATCTTGGGGCTTACCATTGACCAGAAACTGAACTGGACTAGCCACATAAGTACTGTAGCTACAAGAGCAGGTCAGAGGCTAGAAATCTTGCTGAGAATAACTCGCCTCCCAACTCCTCAAAGTCAATGCATCACCTTCAGGAGACAAATTAGGAGTGTGATGGAATACTCCCATTTGGCTATTAAATGCAGCTCCAACACTCGAGCTTTACACCATCCAGGAAAAAGCAGCCTGTTTGATTGGCACCACATTCACAAACATTCAGTCCTTTCATTGTTTAAGCTCAGTGCAACAGTGTATATCATCTATGAGATGCACTACAGATATTCTCCAAGACTCCTGATACAACACTTTCCAAACCCCTGGCCACCTCCATATAGAAGGAAAAAGGCAGCAGATTCATGGGAACACCACTACTTGTAATTTCCCCTTCGAGCTGCACACCATCCTGACTTGGAAATACATCGCTGTTCCTGCAGTGTTGCTGGGTCAAACTCCTGGAACTGCTTCCCTAATGGCATTGTGGGTATACTTACAGGAAATGGACCACTGCAGCTCACTATCACCTTCTCAAGGGCAACTAGGGATGGGCAATAAATGCCCACCACCCATGAATGAATTTAAAAGAGTACAGAATCAACCACCATAATTGAAACCTTCATGCTTTCAGTCATTTGGGGAAGCAAATAATCTCTTGCTGACAGATTTTTATATAAGCAATTAAACAAATGAACAAGGAACAAGAGTAGGCCACTCAGCCCTTCAAGCCTTCTCTGTCATTCAGTAAGTTTATGGCTGAATGCCTAATCTGATTTTAACCTCAATTCTGCATTCCTGCATATTCCCAAAAAACCTTTCATCCCTTTGGTGATCAACAATCTCTCCTCCTCTGCCTTAAATATATTCAAAAATTCTGCATCCAATTCCTTTCAAAGAAGCAAATTCCAAAACTGTGACGACCCCTTTTTTTAAACCATAACCCCTAGTTACAGATTACCCAAATCACACTGTAAACAACAGGACGATTGCTGATTATTGACATGACAATGTACAATTTCCTAATTTAATCTGAATACCTTTATCCATACAATTTATAAATTTATAAAATTATACATATAATAAATATAAACGTAACTAATAATTACAATATAATAAAAGAATCTTATTTTTGTACGATTCTAATTTCCATGATGATTCATAGCTAACTCATCCTTGTGTACCATAATAGTTTCACTGAAAGATCCAATTTGCTTTAAAATGATCTGTAAGATATCTTACAATTCTCATGTAAAATGAGATTAGATGATCGATCAATACTGAATGCAATTAATTTATTTGTCACATCATTGGAACCTATCCTGGGTTCCCACTGACATTTATATTTATCCTGGCCTATTCCATTTTTCATCATGTCTCCACTTCCAACTCTCATGCAGATTCTGTGAACAGCTAATCAATAGTAGCAATTAGGATGTGAAGAGGATGGTTCTTTTGGTGCATTTTCCTTTGACACTCCATGATGAAATACTTTCCTGTTGTGAATGTTCCATCCACCAACTCAGAATGTTTTATAAACCAACTTCTTTGTGACTTCATTCTGTGATCCCTGAATTCAAAATTGTGCTTTAAAAAAAATCATATTATGTTGCTTATATCCTGTTCCTCTGTAGACTTCTATCAAAGATATGTTATTTGAGATTCCAGTGCTATTTCTTCATGTGCCTTTCTGAGTTTGAATTTGTTACTGAAAATATTGAAATGAAGAGTTTTCTTACAGTGTTTTTCTTTTCTCTTTTCTAGTACTCTCCCAGCATGAGAGCCACCTACCTTGCAGTGAGTGAAGAACCTACCCGAATTTATGGAAATATATGTCCTGCTTAACAACTACACTGCCCTTCATAACAGAATTCAAGATTCCTTAATGCCAGCTAAAATATATTGTTCTGGCTAAAGCTGTTTCTCACTCTGTGAAGTTTGAAGTGATAATTACCACTTGGGAGCAATATAGCATTGTTGAAGATTGATGCTGTTAGGCTATCTAATGGATTCTGAGTTTTGGTGCTCAACTGACAGTTAAACTTAATGCTGGAGGTTACATCTGAAAATAATATAAAGTTTTTAAGTATCATTCTTATTGGAGGCTTGATGTGTACTAAGGTGTTGAATTTAAATTGACTTGCAATTAGAATCTGACATTCGAAGTGCCTTGTAAAATGGACAGATTTTAAAATGAAATAGGTATAAGTTTGAACATGACATCCAAGGTGCCTAACTCTAAATTGAGTTGTGAAATTGATTCTAGGGCTGTGAATTACCTGAATATTACCTGCATATAACTGTTGGAATGGTGTGGTTCATTTCATTCTTGAGCAGCCTGTATAGTGCACTTCAGTTATATTTAAACACCGCATCTCCAAGAAAAGCAGAACTAATCTAATCTGCTGAATTCATGATACAGTTGGTTTGATTTATTTTGGCTAATTGCAAAGCAGGGTTGTCTGATTGTTGACCAATCTAAGACCAGGATTGTCCCATCTTTCCAGGGGGTTCAATCAAAATTGGCTCTTACAGAAAACCATGTTGGAGATAGGGTTGGCAGAAAATTAGAACAAATTTGTTTTACGAAAAGAAATTAAAATCTCATAAAATGATGGCTCTTTCAGAAGTTCAGTCTGCTCTGAATTTTGTTCAGAGTAATTTAAATGCTCGATCCCGTTTTTTACTAGATGATGAAATCTAAACTCCCATGGAAGTCAGTTGTGATAAATATGAAAACCAAAGGCATGATATGTAACCTACAGTTTACAATTGGCAACAGAATATTTCAGTTTGCTTACACAACACTGGAATAGCATTTTTCCAATACGATGGCCAAATTCATTGTCAGATATATGAAGTGCCAGATTTAAATTGTCAAATTCAAATACGTTCTGTTAGTTACCTTCTATGAAATAACTTGACAATATTTTACTGACTTGAATTGTCTGATACCATCATTATGGTATGAACACCATTTATAGCTTCTTTCTTCCAGGTCTGTTATCTCCCTAATGGAACTGCAGGTGCTTCCTGCATATTATCTTAAACTCAGCAAACTAAAAGTGGCCTCCTGAGTTGTACTGTGTGGAGCAAGTATAATATTAAACTATATATCGCATGTATAATTAAAGGAGAGGCTGTGGTTTAAAATACTACATGTATCCCAGTGAAGTGGTTTTGGATGTAATTTGCTTTCCAGAAATTAAGAAACTTAACTTGTTTATTGAATCCACATTCACGTTCTTGAGGGAGTGTCCCGAGACCAGCTTTTCCTCACCAGTTGTACTTATATTTCAGTGATTTACTTGTGAGGAGTAATACTTTTCTGAGCAATTGTTATATCATCTGATTGTAGCCCTGTCTATACTGCGTGGAACTAACAAAATTAATGTCCTCTAATATTCTGTCTGTGGAACAAAGTAGCTATTTTTAATCTACTTAAGAGATTGTGTTTGATGTGTAATGAATACATTGTGTGCCTGATGTATGTATTTCACAGAGCACAGCTTAAAATAAGATTCTAAACCAAATCATTGGAAAAGGTGATGAAATCAAAAAGAATATTATTATCCAACTTCTAATCAGAATGAGGGAAATGATGCTGTTTTGACATTCTTCAAGTAACTGCTCACTTAATGCTTTCTCGGTTATGCCAGCAATTATTCTAAATTTCTCTAAATTAACATCATTCATTCTCCATTAATGAAATTGCTACAAGCTATTTTTTGGGAGAACTATCCATACTACTGGTAATGGGGAGATCAGTCAGAAAGATGCATTAAAACTGCCCGAGAGAACTCTCTCAAATCAAACTCATCCCGTCAACAATACCAGTTATGTGAATAGAAAGCCATTTTAATTGTCATGTGTTTTGCTTTTATTATATAAATGTTGTGTTAGTAACAGTTAATTTAGATGCATAAGATCTTATTATTGTGTCAACAATAATCATTGTTACTATATGATGACAACATATAGTATTATTGCAGTACAAAGGGAGTTTAAAACAAAACTTGCTTCAAGTCTGTTTGGTTAATTATTTTGTCAAGTTAGTCCCTAAAAAAATTATTAAGTGGGTAAAATGAAGAACTTTATAGCTAAAATTGATCATTATACATTAAATGACTAATAGACATTACCTGTCTTTACATAGTTGTGAAAATACTAATTACTTCATTTAATTTATTGTTAATTATTTCACTCCAAAAAAAAGTGTTAACTTTGTCTTCAAAATTTGATATTTAAGGTAGTAAAGCACAATTCAAAACCCATTTGTGACTATTCAAACATGCTTAATTTTCCCTTCAACTGGTATAGTAGGCCTAAACTGCTCTAAAATTAAGGGGACGAGATTTTATCTTTGCTTTTGGCATAGTCTTTAGACTCCAGAATTCTGATCCAATGAGACCTTGTATTACCTAGACAGCACGTATAATTAATGGAATCTATTCTAATGCTGTTGCCAAGGATTTTGCACTTCTAGAATACAGATTAAAGAGTTTTTCCTTTATTGAAAGTCACTGATTCATAGGAATATCATGCAAAGCTCACCTACTGTATAATTTTTCTCCACTAATGAATCTTCTGTGACTTGCTTTGGGTGAAACCTACAAAAAATGTAAGATAACCATTTTGATTTTCATAATGTTTGACTGCATGGTTAACTTACCATGTGATAAGCTAATTTATGTTTTACCAACTCATTAATTTCAATTAAAAAAAAGTTCTTACAGATTAATACTTTAACACGCTTTGAGGCATTAATTTCCATTATATAGACTGAAAACATATACTAAAATTAAGTTTTTTTTGTGGAATGGCACTCTTTTTCCTGCGAAATTGGTAGGGAAGAAAGGAAACACAATGCAAAAAAACTGTCATGAAATAACTATTTTGTGATTTAACACTGGAAAATTATCTCAAAATCAAACAGAGCACAAGTGGTTAGATTCAGATTCAATTAACAAGACCACTTTATATTTTTGGCTAGATCCACCTCAGGGATGAGCAATGAACTTTGCTTATCATGAGCTATTAAGAATTATACAGCAATTGAAGTGTTTGGCATCCAGTCTATTCAGTACTGACTGGCTAGAACAAAGTCAGTGTTGGAATGCAAAAGTTCTTAGACCATTGGAATTGCTGAGATACATTTATCTCTAATAAGATATTCTCATTTTATACCATGCAGTTAATTTCAGTTCAGGTTTTTTAATAACACGATTTTTGTAAATGTGTTGAATTACGTCAACACAGTTCTCAAGGTATTGAATTAGGAATTTTTTTATTCTTCTGTGCAGAGAAGTAACCGTCTTGCAATGAAATATGTAACTATACAGAATAAATTATTGATTTTCAATAAACAGTTTATCTTCATTATGTTCCAAGGTTCAGAGTGTAAATTAATGAAACGTTAATGCAGAGAATTATTGAAAAGTTTCATTAATAATAATAAATCTTCAAAAAGTTTGGCACTTGTTGATTATTTGACCCAAATGAACGGAGCCTTTGGCAGACAAATTCTCCTTTATGCTACATGACAGTCACCATGATGAGGTTAGAGGAAAGACTTGGGAGGATGCTCATATGGAACATGGACAACTACTAAGGAAAACTAGAATCCTGCAGTGAGTAGCTCATGTCCTGCTTACTCAAAGCCCCTGTCCACCAGGTACAAGACATAATCAGGAGTGTGATGCAATATTTCCCACTTACCCGGATGAACACAATACCAACAACACTCACACCATCCAGGACAAAACAGTCCATTTGACTAGCACCATATCAACAGACATTCACTTCACCACTGAAGCACAGTAGCAGCCGTGTGTACTATCTAGAAAACACAGTGCTGATTTTCACTCCTTAACAGCACCTTCCAAACTTGGGACCGCTACTATTTGGAAGAAGAAGGCAACAGATACTTGGGAACACTGTCACTTGCAAGTTCCTGTATTAGCCACATACCATACTGACTTGGAAAAATAATATTGTTCCTTCAGGCTCAGTGGGTCAAGATTCTGGAACGTTGTTTTTTAACAACACTGTGGGTCCACCTACCTACTTCACATGGACTGCAGTTTTTTTTCAAAAAGTCAAGTCACCAGCCATCTCCTCAAGGGCAATTAGAAATGGGCAATAAATGCTGGCCTAGCCGGTGAAGCCCATATCCTCTGAACGAATAAAAAAAATTAATTAAAAATAAATGAATTATTTTTCTCATTGTCTTTTTCCCATAACTGGCATTCACATTAAAATGGAAGGGCTGTGACGTTCGAACAGGCAGCCTTGAAGCCTTGTATGCATGTTCTAGTACCCTTGGTGGAGGGAGCTCCAGAACAAGATTCAAACTTCCTGTTGTTCCTTTATTTCATTAGGTACAATTGCGCCCCACTATGTTCCTGCCTGTCCAACTCATCCCACAATCATTTCATGGCTCTTTCTGTGATGAGGTTAACCGCCACTGTCCCCTGCCCCTCCCTATTGTACATTTTTAAGTTCCTAAGCATTGAAGTGAAATATTATGTTTGTGTTCCTGGTGCTGGATAAATAACAATGATAAGGAAAATAATTTCCTTGCTTTAGATTTATTAAAGCAAACACAATACCTCAAATTGTTTAGATTTTTTAACAAAACAATTAAGAGAGTGCGTGAGTTACAAACAGAGAAAATCAACTACTTTGCCTAAACATTTCATCGTAACATGAGGCACTTGTTAATCCGAGGTCAGTGCTTCCTTGAAATAAAGTTTACAGAATTCACTGACTTGTTTCTTTTGGAAAACATTTGAAATCTCACAGGTGGAGGTACATATGCCCTGTCCCTGAACTCGTGTTGAATAGTTTACTTGTTGAGAAATTTTACAAATTGCAAATGTTCACTACAAAATTCTGTGAATTGCTCATCACTGAAAGCACACTGTGGCTCATTGATGAGGTAAAAGTTTTAATATAAGCACTGGGATTTATGACATTGTTTGAGGGCTTGAAGAAAATAAGTGGGCAATCTAATGGATGAATTTCCTGTGTTACAATAACAATCTTTTTTAATTTTGTGTAAAATCTTTACTCAGCGTATTTGAACATTTGGTTACTGAATGAGAAATTTGTTAGTGACTTTTCAAAAGATATCTCAAGTCTTTCAGTTGGCTAATGTAGCATATGGATGTAAAATTGTAGTACATGAAGTGTGCTACTTGTGAGATTTTTAATAGAGATGACGAAGATAATTTCATGGTGCATTATTTCTTCCTACTTACTTTCACCAAACCTGACTCTGAAACCAACCTGGAATTGCCATGAACATTTGTTTGGATGCTCCAAACTTTAAAAATTATTTCCGAAATATAATTGAGTATTATATGTCTCAGTCTTCATTTAATGGTAGCATTCTCTCAACTTTTAGTAAGAAGATTGTAGGCTCCAGTCCCATTCCAGAGTTTTGAGTACAATACCCAAGCTTTGCTGAGGGACTGCTGCACTGGCCAGTACTGCCATCTTTCAGTTGAGACCTTTGTTGAACCAATGCTCTGTCTTTCTTTTTGAGTGCAAACAAATATGGAAATAGTAAACAGGAGCAGGTCTTTGAGCTTGTTCCACCATTCAGTACGGTTATGGCCAGTCATTGTACTCTACCCTATTTCTGCTTTCTCTCCATACCCTTTGAATCGTTTATCCTTAAGAACTATACTTAACTGCTTGAAAACATTCCATGTTTTGGCCTCAACCACTTTCTGTGGCAGTGAATTCCAAAGGCTCACCACTCTCTGGGTGAAGAAATTTCTCCTCAGTCCTAATTAGTCTATCCTTAGATTTTGACGGGACCCCCAACCCCGTTCTGGAATCCCTCGTCACCAGGAAAATCCTTTCTGTCTTTACCCTGTGTAGTCGATTAGAATTTTATAGGTTTATATGAGATTCCACCCACACTGCCCTCTCCACCTCCATTTTTCTAAACTCCAGTGAATATAGTACTAACCAACCTAGTCTCTCTTCATGTCAGTCCTACCATCCTAGGAAACAGTCCAATAAATTTTTATTGCATTCCCTCCATAGCCAGGATATCCTTCATTAGGAAGGAGTCCCAAAACTGCACACAATGCTTCAGGTGTGGTCTCACCAAGGCCCTGTACAATTGCAGCAACATATCACGGCTCCTGTACTTCTTTTGCTATGAAGGCCAACACAAAATGTGCCTTCTTACAGCCTGGTGCACCTGCATTCTTATTTTCAATGGCTGGTGTACAAGGACACCCAGGTCTCACTGCAACTCCCCCTTTCCCAAACTATCGCCATTCAGATAAAGTGCTTTCCTGTTTTTGCTTCCAAAATGGATAAACTCACATTTATTCACATACTTCATCTGTCATGCATTTGCCCACACAATTAATTTGTCCAAATCACACCAAAGCATCTCTGCAAATTCCTCACAGTTTACCCTCCCCACCCACCTTTGTGTTGTCTGATAAAGGGGAATCCTAAAATGTTTTGTAGGCTCTATTTACTCTAAATAGGAAAAGAGTGGAAATAGGAGGAGTAAGGCCAGACTAAATAGTAGATTTACACATGGAGGCATGCAGCGTGGCTGAGATAATAATAAATACATTGTACCTGTCTTTACCAAGGAAATAGATAACTATCCAGGCTATTGTGACAGATGAGGAAGCTCTATTGCTAGAAGAGTTAAAAATTGATAAGGAAGAAGTGTTGGATTACCTATTGTTCCTTAAATTTGACAAGGCACTGGGACTGGATGAGATGCAGTCAAGGGTATTATAGGAAATGAGTGTGGAAATTGCAGGGGCGCTAGCCACAACCTTTGTCTTCCCTAGTCTCAGAGGAGTTGCTAGTAGATAAAATAATTAGAAAAATCACGGCCTAGTTCAAAAAAGTTGTAAGGATAAACCCAGCAATTACAGATGAGTTGGTTTGACTTCATAACAGTTACTTAGGCTTGAACTGCAACAGACCTATAAGAAAAGTTATTACTCATGGAATAAAAGAGCCAGTATCAAAGTGGATGCGAAATTGGCTGAGTGATAGAAAACAGAGTGATGGTCAATAAATATATTTCGGGCTGGAGGAAAGTTTGTTGGAGATCCCCAGATCTTTGTGCACAGGTGACAGTTTCAAAGTTTGTAGATGATACAAAACTTGGAAGCATCATAAACTGTGAAGAGGACAGAAACAAGTTGGTGGAGCAGGTAGCAGATGCAGTTCAATGCAAAGAAGAGTGAAGATTTTGATAGGAAAAACATTGTTTGATAATATAAAATAAAGGATACAATTCCAAAGGGGCTGCAGGAGCAGAAGGATCAGCATGTAGATGTGCACAGATCATTGAAGGTGGCAGGATAGGTGGACAGCAATAAATCAAGCATAATGAAGTATCCTGTGCTTTAATAGGAGCACAGAGTACAAAAGCAAGGACATGATGCTGAAGTTCTATAACACATTTGTTAGACCTAAACTGGATTATTGTGTACAGTTCTAAATGCTACACAATAGGAAGGATGTGAATGCCTTGGAGACAGTGCGGAAGAAATTTACAAGAATGGTTCTAGGGATGAGAAATTACATTGGAGAGGTTGGAACAATTCTTCTTGGAGAGAAGAAGGCTAAGAAGAGAGCTGAATTAAGTCATCAAAATCATGAAGGGGCTGGATAGAGCAGATGGGAAGATTGTTTCCATTCATAAAAGGATCAAGAACAAGAGCACACTGATCTATTGATTTGCAAAAGAAACAAATGTGATTGTGTAAAGAAGCTTCTTTACACAATCTATTTCAGGTCTGACAGCTGCTTCCTGGAAGCATGGTGGAGGCAGGTTCTAATGAGGTAATCAAGAGGGCATTGGTTGATTATTTAAATAGTAATGGTGAGCAAGGATATGGAGAAAAGGCAGGAGAATGGCATAAAGTCATGATGCTCAATTAAGGGCAGAATGGCCCCCTCCTGCACGGTAATATGTCTGATTCTAAACAACCTTTTTTCATTGTTTGTATAACTTAAGGAAGGTACACAAAGTAAAGGAAATGCATAATTTCATTAAATGCGTCTGATTTTACTGCTGGTGGCAGCAAATCCAAGCCAGTGCCGGACGTTTAGCAGTTATCAGGCTGCAATGGATCCGACATCTCCGGGAGAGGTGAGTGAGGAGTGAAGCTGGGGTCAGTGAGGGCCTTTGCTACCTTTAGCTCCTCTGCTGCAGCCCAGGTTGTATCAGCCACGACAGGTAGGTCCGCTTCTCAGTGCGCGCGCGCGCCACGCGCCTCCTCACTGCAGCTGCGCGCCCAGCTTGTTGCTAGGAAACAGTCAAACTGTCTGGAGCCAGAGACAGGCAGAGAGACCATAAACCGGCCGCAGGTACCGGGACCGAGCCAGAGACAGGCAGAGAGAGACTACAAACCGGCCGCAGGTACCGGGACCGGGACCGAGCCAGAGACAGGCAGAGAGAGACTACAAACTGGCCGCAGGTACC